TTAAAGTTTGCGAAACTCACAACAAACATGGCGGCGCGAGGTCTACTTCGTAAAACTTTGTTTCCGCCAAATTTAGAGAGCTGTTTGCGATATCGCTTATTTTTTCCCTCGAAAACATCCATCTTTTAGACAATTTCAAACGAAAAAATCCTTTTTTTGTGATGTTGATGTAGCGATCAATCGAGCCGGCTTTCAATCTAAAAAACAGCAGGAAAGAACTACTCTTCAAGTTTTCTTCGTTCTTTTTACTAGGTCAGCCTCACCTTCGGGTATTTATGGTGCTCTTTTTCTACCGCTTATGCTGCTAACGACAACAGCAAAAATGGAAACACTGTTCGCGTGTATTCACTTTTATTCGCATAGAATTGCGGGCTTTACTGAGCAGCGGACTGCCTTCACGCGTGCGCAAAGTGCAATCTTGCAAAGTCGAGATTTTAATTTGCGCTTGCAACGCGCGCTAAAAATTCCTTATATACAAAGCAAATATCTCAAAAACTGATCCGGTGACCCTACTTTTTTAATACAAAAAATTATTCAATAGCAAAAGCGGAATGCATTTGCGAAATTGTAAAAGAAACTGTGGAATGGAATTTTTTCAATCTTGGTATTTTTTTTTTTAATTTAAGCAAAGTCTACTCCACAATTTTTTTTTCTATTTTTCCCTGTTTCTTCTTCTGTATATAATAAAAGATTTTTATAAAACAAATATGGGGTCACCAGCTTAGTTTTTAAAATAGATGCAATATGATGGTAGAAAGTGAGTCAAGTTTGTTGCTATGCAACAGAGCAATGCAGCCTTAATTTATGACTTAAACACAATGAAAGGTACAGTGGGGAGTTACCTTAAAAAATAGCACAGTCATTCAAAACAGTACAGTTGCAAACCTGAAAAATCGCACCTAGTTCTAAAAGTCTCCAAAAAAAAAACAAAAAAAAAAAACAACAGAAAACTGTTTTGAGCCACCTTAAAAAAATTCTGCTGAGTGGGCTCAGAGCCACCTTAACTTGTGTTTGAAGGTGGCTCTGAACCCACTCCGCAGATTTTTGTATCTTATCGTGCTTACTACAATTCGATAACAGAAAATTAGGGTAACCTTACTCGTTTTTGAGTTATAAGCGTTTAAAGCCAAAATTAAGGGTTTTTAGCATGTCATATTGTTGCTATGGTAACCTGTTATATTAAAAGGATGACCGCAACTTGTTTACTAATGATTGGGGATTTGTATGATACCATTATTGTAGCATAACTTTTTAAACAGTGGTACTACTCATTCTTCAAAGTATAGCTGCTAGAAAAGTGCTGGAAACTGTTGCCAGCCTCCTAAATCGGGCTTTGAACCCGGCACAGGAGCTCCGCTTTTAGGCTTGGCTAAATCTATATATGATGAATGGTTTGGCACGAAGACTCGTTTTGACACGGAGGCAAAAGGTAACTCGAGGAAGTGGCCTATTGCGACTGAGTTCATAAGGGATTTTTCTATGCGAAACGAATATACAACTAACCATGGCGTCAATGCGGGTTCATTTAAAGCCTAACTATTAGAATTATTTTAGTATTTGTTGATTAATTTCGTTGTGCTCTCCCGATTAACATCAGTAAACTTTTGAAACTTTCGTTTTAAGTTTTTGGTTCAGGATTTTCCAAATCGAGATCGCGCAAACAGAATATCCAAATATTGAGAAAGAATAGTAACTTTTAGACTACTTTTTAGAGTTTTTAACTTAATTTTTAGAGTTGAAACAGACAAAAATAGCTCTGCAAGTGGCCTAGCGATAAAGAATGTCCAAGAAGGAATATTTAGTAACCTGATGGTGGTAACGTGTACGTCGTCAAAATGTATAAATAATTAAACTGATAAACCACCATTCGTTAATTTTAACCTAGGAAGTGGTCTTTTAACACAGTTGTATTGTACAGTGAGAGATAAATAACCATTAAATATTCTAATCAACATTTAAGTGAATTTATGTCTGAAAGTTTTCCGTTCACCTACTCTATCAGTGATGGCTTTGAGGCGTTATGAATGCAGGGGCACTGAAGATGGCTGTGCAAAGAGTACTCTGGAAGGCAACGAGGACGTGTATCTGAAAACGTGCCCAGTTGGAGCAGAAAAGTGCAAGAGGTCCTTTCTCAAGGAAGATAGAAAAATCCAAGTGATAAGCCACTGCACTAATCAGCTAGGCTGTGATTTTGCGCAAGCAGTAAAGTACAGTAAAGACGGTAAAGACTTGCAAAGTTGGCTGCTGTGACGAGGACGCGTGCAACGTGGGCTCACATGTCTCCTTCAACGTCATCCTGTTGACCGTATGTTCTGCCCCGTATGTTCTGATCGGTGTTTAATGGCCCATTTATGAGATGTTAGTTCATCCGTGGTTACCTTTAAGCGATTGGGCGGTACGCATCTATACACGAAGAGGGGCACGGACAGAGGTAAGTGCCTTGCAGGACAACACAACAAAATGAACTTGGNAAATCCAAGTGATAAGCCACTGCACTAATCAGCTAGGCTGTGATTTTGCGCAAGCAGTAAAGTACAGTAAAGACGGTAAAGACTTGCAAAGTTGGCTGCTGTGACGACGACGCGTGCAACGTGGGCTCACATGTCTCCTTCAACGTCATCCTGTTGACCGTATGTTCTGCCCTGGGCCTGCCACTACTGGTGTAAGCCTCGGACCAAGCCCTTTTACTGTTTGATTTATTCTCAACCTTATTTGCATTAGAATTAAGAATAAAAGGTTACTAGTGTTGTTGTCATTAGAAACTGTATTTCGTTTAGGAAAACAATGCAAGTCAAGGAAGTTGTCAATAGATTAAAAAGCAACAGCTTTTGTAGATTTTACTTCATTTCAGTTTGTAACTTTTTACAATTTCATTTAAAACTTAAAAAAAAAAAAAACTGAACATATCATTTAGCGTTGTCACTGAAAGAAGGTGGGTGATGCATACCTGGTTCCGCAGGGCTCCCGGTTTGAAAGATTTATCAAAAGAACTGAGTCGTTTTGCGACTAAACTGACTGGTGTTTAATGGCCCATTTATGAGATGTTAGTCCATCCATGGTTACCTTTAAGCGATTGGGCGGT